AGTTATGGAGAATAACAGCAAGTGGTGAAAGGGGTCCAATTCGACAACAGGACGCTTTAAAAATTTGCAGTTACACTCCGCGTTTGCCGATGGGTAACAGGACGGGTTGGTTACGGAACTTATCCCCGAATTCCCACGGCCTGCGGCAGTGCTTCCGCGGCGACTCTTCGTATTTTTGGGAATTCAAATTTTCCCTTCATGACGCGCGATGGCGTATGGCGAGTGCGACACGCGACACGGAGAGAAGATGTCAGACCCGTTGTCAATTGGAATCCCTAAAGGATCAGGCGAAGAAGCAGTATCTACTCGTTCTGTCCACATCGGGAAGAGGAGGATGAAGAGAGCTGTAACGTCCGTCAAGCTCGTCCGTCGCGAAGTCACCCCGTCCACTTCGCGCACAGCGAATCCACTGCTATCTCGAGGCGACATTACAGCACCACTAAAAAAAGACAGTCGCTTAGCGCGCATCGCGCCTCCGATTGAACGAGGTTTCTGAGTTGAACAACTCGCCAAGGCCCTTCATCCTCCTCACCATCCTCGTTAGTCAACCCATGCCCATCCAGCTGATATACGCCCGATCGAAGACGCCACCACTACTAGACGCCGGATTGCGGACTTACTTGTATTCTGCCTGTTTGCATAGCTTAGCATGGTCAAAAGCTTGAATCACCTGGAGGAGTTGTTCAGCTTCAAACAACGTCGAATGGGCTGCGAAAGGCTGCTTTCAGACCTCGACGTCCGTCCGTCCGTCCGTCCGTTCGTCCGACGCGTGCGTGCTGCTACGGCGGTCGCTAGAGTAGTGTTGACAGCGCTGGCACGTGATCCAGTGTTGTCAACAAAGATCAGGCGCCGCCGTTGCAGCACGCACGCGTCGGAAGGACAGACGGACGGACGGACGTACGGACGTCGAGGTCTGAAAGCAGCCAAACGGGAGGGGCCGCGCCAACCGACATAGGGTGCTTCCAGAGAGCAAATGCATTCAGAATGCAATGTTGCATTCAATTTAATTTATTTCCTACTCATCCATTACTATATCACCATAATGAACTCTAACCTTAGTTGTTTTGTGCTCTGGTTCGTGTTTTATTGCTATGGCTTCACGCGAATGTTTTAGTGTAATAAATCAAACCAGATCAAATCAAAGACCGAAGGTGTTGGTGTCTACGTGTTGATACACTGGTGCGTGATCCATCGGCGTCCTGTGTTGTCAAGACCGCCACCAACGCCGTCGGTTGGTCGTTGCACTCTGAAAGTGCACCGCCTGGCTGCTTTCATAGTCCGCGAGCGAGCGCGCGAGCCGGCCGGTGGACTACTCGTCCGGCTGTATCGACCAAGATTCAGTTGTAAACAAGGGGCAAGCGCCGCCTCCGGTCGCTCGCGAGCTCGCGAGCCGGACGGCGGACTATGAAAGCAGCCATGCGCCGGTAGAGCGAACGATTTGCTTTAGTCCGTGTTATTTTCTCCAAAAGGTGACTAGACTCTTCTCGTATGCTCTACTGACAACTGCGACGTTCGTCAAGAATGGCAGGCTGACGCGCCGAGGGGGACTACTGCGGCGTGACCTCGTTTCGCAGAGGCTCGCGGAAACGAGCCCCGCGGGGACAGTGAGGAAGAGAGTAGTGCGCCTGCTCTGACTCAGCAGTCTTCTACATAATGCTTTTCAGCGAGCACAATGAGATAAAACTAAATTGTGAATGGAATTACAGTCGGCCTCAGTAGTGAAAGCACCAAGCAGCTTTGATACCTCAGATTAATCCCCAGACAGACGTGCTTGCAGGAGGAAGGAATGAATTGGTGAAGGATGTCGGTGGCTGAAAGTCCTTACTTACTGATCAGCATTAGTATTCTGGAAACTTCGTTCGAGAAGAGGCGTGGTTCTTCTGGCAGTTTCATCTACGAATCGGCGTGGACACTATTGCAGAGAAACGAAACCTTATAGTAATTCTGGCAGAAAGAAAGAATTCCGCACTTACATCAACTTCCTGCATGTTCAACAATACGTGGAAGATTGAAATACACGAGAGACAGTGAGAACGCTGAATCATCTCTTCTGCGATTGACTGCCGCTCAGGTTCCTAGCAGATGAGTGCCTCCCCTGGAATTCTCATTTAAGGTAGGATAGTATTAATATTGAAGGAGTGTCTCTTGGCAAAAGATTTGAGTTGAGACGAAGAAGCTCAGGAACGCAGCTTGACAGATGACCGTAATTTTTTGTAATTTATTTCTTTACTACGCCTTAGGAGGGGAGGAGCTACGGCGCGGGTGAGTCAATTGAACGTACAATTTTTAACTGCAATTTTTGCACAAGGAAATCTTCTCACCCATTCCGGTGCTCCTTCTCCTGCTGAGCTTAGTTAGAAACTATATTTTTGGCAAAAAAAAATTCTGAACACAAGTGACCTCTGTGATCTAGGGCGCGGTGTTGGAAAATAGCGGTGCCCCGCTCGGACGTTTTCAGTGTCATTGAGTAACAGTTCTCAGGAGTTATTTTCAGTCTCCCATAACTCGAATTGTTCTCATTTACCAATACCTGTGTTAAGTTTTTTTCTTTCATACTTGAGCTATTCAAACAGATTATACTCTGAGGGATGCTCTTTTTCTTTACCCGTTATCTGTGTGTAATTATGCCCAGGACCACACATCAATCGACAACTAATCATACACATTTTTCATGTTTTGTCTAACAATAGCTAAGGTGAGCCAGTGAACAGCCCTGATCGATAACTGCCCATATCCCCTCATATTCCAGAAATGCAATTCAAGAAAGGAAACCTTTAAGAGACCAGGATCTTTAATCTATTTACAGATTTGAACATCAGTGCTATATGGCTGAGGCCGAACAAAATAAAAACTGTGGGACGTAAAAATGATTCGAGTTGCAAGGGGTAGGCCACACGCAACAAAATCTCATGTCCAGTCAGCGCGCTCTAATGACAAGCTCCTGCAGACCAGGGACAAGAACCGAGAAGAACCTGAAATGTACGTTCTCTTCGTCTCCAACGCGACGTTAGAGAGCAGGCGGATGAGTGCGCCTTCCTAAGGCACATGATCCTTGGAGCGACTGCGTTGCCCAAGTATGGTTATGACGCCTTCTTCAATTACAAGAATGATTTTATAGTGATCTTTTGCAAGTTTTGCAAGCGAAAGGTTGGCCCTACCAAGTAAGTTTCAACATAACGTCGTATCTTTGGATGTTCATTAGACGAACTTACTTCATACGCTTGCTGTATTTGATGAGGCCCATTCACAAGATTTGGCCTTTGTTTCAAATAACTCACACGAAAATATATTCCGTAAGATTCTTCCTACTCTTATGTGGGTGACCCCGGATTTGTGCCCAATTTTTTACCAAATGTTTGGTTAACCGAATTGCCTACTAATGTAAGCATGTGAAAATTAAAAGCGCTAATTTCTGAGACAGGAGGAGATTCCAGAACGCTTTCCAGTTATCGAGCATTGATGACGTGAGAGACTCTCTTTGTAAGAGGCTTCAGACAGTTGGAGGACAAACCGCGAAAGCGCCACACCGTCACTTCGTGTTCTAGATATCCTAGTACAGGGCTGTGGAGCTGCAACAGTTTCAGATTCGATAATGACTGCGGGCTTCGGGCGAATTGCTGTCTCAGATGATTGCTGATGCTGCGATTCAGAAGCATTCATTATCTGATTTTTTTTTNTTTTTTTTTGACAAGCAAGGAAAAGGTGCTCTAGGTTTTTAAACGATGATTTTTAGTTCACGAAGTTCCACAGTTAAACTCTCGATTTTCCGAATATCAGGTAAGTAAGGATGCAGCCATTTTGGCTGATTATAGTAGTTTCAATAATGAAAACTTATAACTGTTTGGCAAGCGATGCCACTGAATGCTTCGCTTCCATCTGGGCCCATGCAAGGAATACTTGCTTCTGGATACTACATCCGTTGAAAGTGTGATGTACTCATGTCCTACTATTCACAAAGGCCTTTAAGCGCTGCGCAGTCACATATCTTGAGGCTACGGAGATTGACGACCTTGATTTGTCAAGGGAAGCTCAAGTACGTTTTCATTGATGCATAAGTGCACTTGTACTTTGATTTTTCTTTGGTACTAAATTTGTAAATTAACGCCGTCAGCTAAGACTATTTTTAAGTAGACTAAAGTTTTCTTTTTATGCCTCGACATTGTCCCATGTGCTGTAGCCTGTCACTGGCGACTTTGTCAGAACTAAAGAGATATCGCCTTTGTACTTTTTAAAAGTAATTCGTGCAGAAAAATGAGCACATGTGTTGGATCGTGGCATCAATATCAACGTTCCGCATTCCTGGTGTTTAGTGCAGAAAAAATGTTATACTCTGTGAAATAAGTTCTTTACGATGGTATTTTGTATCACCATTCTACTACTTTCTTCAGTAAATTGTTTTGTTGTTATTACTGCATTAATATCGTATAAAGTTGGCTGCAGAAGGTACGCACCGGCTCGTACAAAAATATTCGTAGTATGATGAAGTATTAATAATATGAACTCATGCAATACTGATTGAAAAGAGCAAGCGCCTCAAGCAAGCTTTGTTGAACTGGTTACGGATGGGCCCTAAGACTTGTGGCAATGTGGTTCAAAATTAAAGTCCATGTGTTTGTTATTGTTAATATGCAAAGCAACTGATAAAGCGATGCCTTTAGAAATGCCGCATCGAAGGCATTACATTCTATCGAAACGGGATGGTATTGGTGGCATTTAAGGTTATCGAAGAACAGCGTTTCCTAAGGATCGTGCCACGTATTATTCTTCCCCCCTTTACCCTATCATTTTCTCTAGATCTCTGAAAAATCTTGACAGTTCATAATGATGTAGCGGATGTTCTTGCGAAGTTTGCTTCACGTATTTCGAATTCTTGCATCTTGTTTACATATATACCTTTGCTCGCCCGTAGGATCGTCGTTTTCTTCACATTCCTTCTTTATCATTTTATATTTCAGATTGTGGTTCACTTTCAAAATTCATGTAATATCGTATAAGCGAGCATGAATTTTGTCATTCCAAAAAAGAAGCGTGTTGTGGAAAAGCTCCCAATAGGTACGTTCTTTCTCCCACTAGCTTTCCTTTTAAACTCTGTTGTTTAGTTTTGCAATAAAAACAAGAACTTTATTTGGTCTAGGCATTATTGGCTTTGGAAATGTAGAAACAGCAAACATTGTAGAACGGTGAGAGAAATGTGAGGCTCAGTTCAACTTTCTAGATTTTAGGAACAATGAAGGGGAATCTTCTCATACAGCATCAAAACACTAGAATAATAGCAACCTAACTTTTCTTTTCCAAAAAAATTCCAACTTGTGCTTCAAGATGATGCCTGCAACTTTGAGGCTGTCACATGAATTGCTTTCATATTTTTTTAGATATATTGTCACTTGAGCCAAAGGCTACTATCGAAGAAGTTGCCAAAGATACGTCAAAGTTCAATGTCGTCAAGAACATTGTATTGGAGAGCATGTCCGATCGTCAGGTCAATCAATTTATGCACGTCGAGAAGGTTCAGCTAGTAAAAAACCCCTTCCTCGAATACCGGGTCTGCATCTTTTTTTGGTACTTATATAAGCTTGTGCAGTATTGTTGCAGTTTCAGTACGATCAATTTAAAGCTGCCTTGCGCTCTTCTGGTCAAAATGATGCGGAGGGATATGGATTCTTACTCGTAGGATTCGACGACGAGGATGTATAGTTTTATTAATTAGTCACGCTATAGAATTCTATTCAGCTGTTCTAGCTTGAGTATTTCAGTGGATGCATATTTGCAATTATGGTTATTCTGTCGGCACAGCGTTCTATGGAGATTTGGGCCTAATAACACGAGGTAAATGACCATTCTAGCGACGTACTACTTCCTTATGTTTCTTTTATGAGTTGGAGTTTTTAGGAGTTTACGTTTACCGTCACGTGGATTTGGTCACCCCTTCGCTCTTCTATAGAGACGAGATAATACGTGTTATGATTTTTCGAACTCTAAGGTATGCAGGTTTCAAATCGAAAATATCAAGGCTTGCAATTTCTTAAGTAATTTTTATGTTTGCGAGGTACTGACAATTTCAGAGGAAAGAGTTATGCTGTTGGATTGGGTTCCACTGAACTTGAGCCTACTATGGACTGCTCTAGTCACGTCGCAGCTTCTGATCATATTCCCGCTGCCAAAAAGAGTCGTCAACAGCTTCATCGTCAGTCAGCGGTCCGCTTTTAATTGATTCATTGATATTCTAACAGTACTTTGTCACGTTTCCTTTACAATAACAAATATCTTTTTTTGAAGGTCTATCATTACGAATACAACAAGGACATGACTGTGGCAGAGGTTCCTTCTGGAGTATTACCCTATGCCGTGGTGGACTTGCGATTCAGCACCTCCGAGAAAAACCAACACTCGAGTATTCTCCCTTCTTTGGGGTGCTTCGCCTTGTTTCTCTCGTTGCTGCTCAACTGTGATACATAGCAACCTTTTCAGATACGTGAATGATCAGCTGTATTTGTATCCTGTTTATGAAGGAAGTCTTTCAATTCTCTCTGCAGCTTTTGGAAAAGCAACTCTTTATACAGTTTTTGAAGATTCAAACAAACCCCATGGATTGTGCGTTTTTTATTGACATAGCCTTTTTTTGCTTACGTCGCGAATTACTTTTCCAGGGACGAATCGCTGGCATTTACTAAATTGCTAAAATGGGCCGATGCTTATGACGTGAGAGGGTTACCACAATTGATGGCGCCGGATACATGGGGTTTGATCGCAAAGCAGCGCGAAGTCTGTGTTAGGGTGAGTTCAAGCAATTAGTCACTCGCTGTATTATTTCGTTATACATCTATTCCAGAATCACAACGAGCGATCTGAGAAGTGGAAAGTTCGCTATGTGTCTCACTTTGTGTGGATGTGTAATGAGCCACGTTTTGCTACAATTGCCAACGCTATGCGTGTCGAACAATGCGTATGTATTGGTTCTATTTCTTGGTTTTTTGACAGTAAGTTTTTGGCCGAGAACAGTGTAATTGACCGCTCCAACTGTGATGTCAAATTTTATATAATGTCCCTTACTTTACGTTTCTTCCAATATTCTATCGAGCAAAGTATGGTTAGAAGGGGTATCTGAACCTTCTCTGGTACTCAACCTTAGTGGCCATGTATTATGTAAAGGAGGAGGAAATTTTTCGCTAGTTTCTACAAGGGAGAGAATCATAACCCGTTTCACGACCACCTGAGCTTTTTCGATTTAAATTTGGAATTCCTAGTTTATAAGCTGCATAGGAGAGTGGTTGCTCAGGGCTAACTTCTGAAATGGACCAACGAAAGTTATCCTAATCCTTGTGTAGGTTTGATGGAGCAATGCTTTAGTTCATAATCATTGTGGTCTTGTCTATCCACTAAGGTTTGGATATGATTCGCAAACAGAAAAAAATTGATGAGTGCTTTAAATTTCAGGCTGCTATCGCTTATTCGATAGATGCCACTACATATGTGGCATTTCCTTCTAGCCAATTTTCGAATGTGTTCGGCCTACCGTGGCTGAGATTTCCTTCTCTTCATGTTTTAGTTATTCATGCCAATCCACTCTTCTACGCTGATCCATGTGATGTGAACTGCTTCAACGATGAAGCGTTAGTTATCGTTCTATTGCTTTTGGTTTCTTGTGAAGCTGTAAGTACGTTGTATACGGTCATTTATGTTCAGGGAAATTTTGAGCAAAATTCCTCTCGGTACCGCAATTCTGGATGGCGATGATATAGCGACTTGCAACTCTTTTGACCTTCAAGGTATGGTTTCATATTGCGATAGGGGTTTAAGTGTTGTACCTAGGGCGACATTGACACTAATCATTTTTCATGAGTGTTTCCGAAATACTTGATGTCAATGAGCCGGTTTAGCTGGTATACTTTTGTTCCTTTTCAGAACACTTAAAGGTACCCCAACTCAATCATTCTGAACCGCGCGTACCTGTTGCAAGTTCGCCGTTCAATGGATCACCTTCTCAAGGTATATAAAGTTTAATTGGTCTCACTCTTAATGTCACTTGTATTTTGAGTACATATCGACAGTGCTCATGAGGAGCCACCGCTCATATATGTTCAGATTCCAAGAAATCTATCGAATCATCTCAAAATGCGTGCACGGATGGCAACACTGACGAGCCCAATCCTCTTCCTCCGGTTCCTCTACCACAGTTTGCCGGCAAAAGTGAGTTCTTTTTTGCATCTGTACCATCACAATCAATGAGAAACAACGGTCAAAAGTGGGTTACTGAGAAGTGAAGTCGCTACCCCACATAGCGCATCCTGGTAGCCAGTCTCATTGTCAGACAGATACTCGCTGAGATCATCTGAGGCTGTCAGATCATCGGAGTTGATTAGCTGTCCTTCCAAACTTGTCTGTGAGGCGTTTCATCTGTTTCTCTTGTAATCTGGTAGTCTTTTATAAGCCAAATAGAAATCCATTCGTCATTACTATTATGAAAGGGCTCATCTTGACACAGAATCGATGGACTCCAAAAACTTTCTTCTTTTACAACAGAAATCAATAATCAAATCAACAATATATTGGTTTCAAAAGGAAATCGTCGTTCCTTCAATCTATTCAAGGCCCTTCGTTCTAAGAATCAGGACGTTCTCTTACGTGCATACAAACTCTATGTGCGTCCCATTTTGGAATATGGGTCCTCAGTGTTCAATCCCTACGCTAAAAACGATATTCGGGCTCTTGAAAGCGTGCAAAATAGCTTCACCCGTAAGCTGATGCTCAGATGTTCGGGCCTTCGCTATGTTGACATACCTAATGGGAGCGCAAGGAATGCCAACCTTGGTCTTAAAACTCTTGAATGGAAGAGGAAGCGATATGATATGCTAATGACTTATAAAATACTTAAAAACATTGTAAATATTGATGCTTCAGACTTTTTCCATGTGTTGCCGTCTAATACTAGGGGTGCCTCAATAAGATTATCTACTTCTACAGCTAGGACTCAACGCAGATCTAAGTTTTTTGCTCTCAGAGTTCGCACAAATTTCAATTCCATCTTGCGCTCTAATTTGTTCCCGTTGAAATACTCCACTTTCAAAAAACATTTAGCAGATTTACTATGATTATATGATTTATCAGATGTTCACCTTTGTGTTCTCTGTTTCGGTTGCTTGGTCTTTTTGTGTTTTCACTATGCTCACGTGTGTTTCACATGTCTTTTAATAAATAATAAATAAAAATCCTATTTGCAGGCTGTCTACGCAATAAGCCTCCACAAGTCTTTGTAGAGCAACCTCCCTTGATCGGAAAAAGTGTGCCTCCTCCTGCACCAGGCACCAAGAATGCGGTGAGTGAAAGCTTTTAGAATTCTGATTCGTTTCAGGGTATGTTGTGTTGCCACTGGCTTAACTGTGCGAAAACAAGTGTTATAAATTGAATACTTTCAATGAGTCGAAGCTATATTTTTTTATTTTTGTTTCGTTGTTGCATCTAAAATACTGGTTCATATTCAAGACAATTTCTGGAGGTGCACCAATTAGGAAAACCCGTATACGATGGTCCGATAGTGTTGTGGACGTGAGTTGCGTTGTATTCTTTTTGTTTTTGGATAGGGGCTGATTTTGCAGAGTTGAAAGTCTGAAAAATCTTTCACTGCTAAGCATTCGTGCACAGATTGAGAGATGTCTTTCAGAATGAGAACAAATGCGGAAAGAAGTTGTCAAATGATCGAGATGAAGCAGTTAAGGCAGGGCTTCATGGTCGGGTTCCACCCAAAGATTTATTAACAAGAAAGCAACCACCTGCTATGGCTGAACGATTGGTGCGTTCCATTCCTTACGGTTTCTAGCTACTGCTGTTCGCCATAATTCTTCACATTCTCAGGGACCAACACCAAATTCCACGATTTTCGATGTTACTACAACTTCTTCCTCTGCCGTGAACAAGCACAAGGATCTATTCCAGGGTGTTTTCAGCACAATTGCAAAAGGTGATGTTTTAATGCCAGTATGACCGATACTTGGATATTATGCTGCGATTCTTTAAGGAGGCAGTGCAGATGCCGATACAGCGGATAATGGAGTTGAGCCTGTGCCCTTTGTTGAGCAAGCTTCCGAATCGGCAAAAGTTCGCCATAAGCAGTTTCTGAAACGATTTCGCCAGTCTAAATGCCCTTTTTCAGAGCACGTCCATGCCCCGGCGTCTTGGAACGAAAAATTGCATAATAACGTCACTTCCATTGCCTCTCCTCAGTCGAAATACGGACACTGTAAGCTGTCTCCTATAGCTTACTTATATTAATCTTCGTTTGAGCGAGTAATTTTTTGCAGTTTTCTCGAGAATCTGCTGGTTCCCAGTCGGTGTCGAATGCAAATACGCAACCATCGGAGGTACTGTGGCCATAATTAATTCCTTGCTCAGGAAAACGTTCCTTCTTCAGGACGAACTTACGGTGTGTGACATGGAAATCGAGTCAGGCTCTGAAGAAACACCTACACCTCCAAATGTCAAGGCTTCTCCTGAAAAAACAGATGAGGTACATTTATCGGTTGTTCGTTTCGTAAACTCATGCGATTCTGTTTTCATACCAGTCTATGTATCAATACATAGAAATTTACTGTAATTGTTTGTTTCACTCATGTTTAATTTGTTCTACGACGCTTTTTATTTAATTTCTTTTTCGTTTCGCCTTTCCAGGATCTTGTTCACCGGTACTATTTGAGTATTAGACACTTAACTGATTGTGAGATTGGAGTCTCTTTATTCATTTTTCATGACTTCAGTCTTCTCTAATCTACCTATTATCTCATCGATCTTATGAAAATCTATCTACAGCCGTCGAAAGCTGTGTAGTTACTATCCGGCCACGTACTCGAAAGATCCCTCCTCTGCGGAGTGACGCTTCTTCAATTTTTTTAAATGAATTTTTTAAGGCAGTGGACTTCATTGATGATCATGACGAAGACTATGACGCTCAGTTCATGTGTGAAACAACGACGTCAATGGATTCACAGACCAGTTCATGTACCTCGTCAGCATCCACGACCTTTGGTACAGTTCAATTTTTTTTCCATTGACTAATGTTGCTAACAATAATTGATGTGCTCGTAGTGACATTACATCAAGAATGTTCTGGTAGGCTTGTTCACTTTCCGGCAGCTTTCTTGAATCTGAACTCGACCACTTCCCTATTAAGATGCGATACAAACCTCTCTGATTGATAGATTAAAAATGCCCTTGTCCACGGTTTATTCTTTAGTAAATTTTTGCTGCCTTAGGATTCGTATTCTTACCAGTAAAGTGGTTTTGCAGACCCGCAAAAGAAAGAGGCCTTATGAATCACTGCGTAGCGATCTGGTTGGAGGGAGGGTAGAGTGTTTCAGCTATACCAGTTCTTAGAGATGATTGTAAGTGCTGACCTGTGCCGGTTGAGCTGTTCGTAGTAGATCCCCTCTGTTACGATTTGAATTGTATTTGTGTCTGAGTGAACCATATGTGTGTATATGTAATAATAAGACACAAAAATGTTTTTTTTAGTAGAGTTATAAATGAATACAGCTTCGCAGTGCAATATAATGTTGGTAAGTTCAGATGAATCTAGGGTTACAATTGAAGTTTGATAGAGTGGAAAGTTTTTTTGACATCATTCGTTTTTCAGGTGAAGAATCTACAATAGCGACTTCTAAAACGACCGATATACAGGTTTGATATTGCAACCTACTATATTACGAAATTTTGTAATATTACCCTGAGCTTTTGACAGGTCGTTACTTCTAAAGAGCAGGCTTTTCATGAACGAAAATTCTTTAGGTTTCCTGAACCACCTCTTAAGAATTTTATTATTAAACTTTAACTTTATTCTATTCATAATAGATGGTTGCTCTCGCAAGCAGGGCAGAGTCTGTGAATTTGTGTTCAAAAGCACGTGCAGAACTTTTTAGAAAGGGTTCAGACTCATATACGTATCGCCATTGGTATCGAAAAGAAATAATGACACTATGTTTTCGGTGGCATCATGCATTCCGCCAATTCACAGATGTCGTACCTATCATTCAATGGTTGTGAAAACTATAATGGTGCAGTGGTTGTCCTATTTATATAAACTACATTCATTATGCGTTTCGAGTCAATTGAGGCATTACAGAATTCGGTTCGAAACAGAGGCGGCTTATAGTTATCAACGGTGACCCCTGCATCTGCCCTGCACTGTCCGAGGCTTAGGTGTTGTCCCTCCCATCACCGACCTCGTCCGAGCAAGTTATTCATCCCATGTGTGTTAGTAAACTGCTTTTATTGAAGTCAAGTGCATCGGCTTGTTTCAAAGCAGAAACGTGAGGCGCTGAAACTTTGCCTGTTTAGTTGTCTAAAAAGTACAGCATCTCCCTCTCCTGAACTTCACTCGCTTTTTCCACATTTTTGTGATTGGTCATTTCTTATTGTTCAAGAGCTTCATTGCTCCTTACTTTCTTCTTTGACCTGTTCAAAAACTTCGCTCACTCTTGAATGCTTATTATCCGTTATCCCGTCTGTGATAAGCCCCTAACAGCCATGATATCCCCCCCCCCCCCCACCTCCACTCTAAATCCATTATGGCCTCGCATAATCATTCCATAGTTTCTTTTCAGTTTCACTGTTGCATTGAAGCACCTTTGCGAGCCACTTGTTTTCGAGGCAGTTTGCATAAGGTCGTGCACAAAATTGGCCCTTGTCCCCATCATTTTTAGGAAACAAATATAGGTCTTTTTAGTGAAAGACTGCTATAACTTCTTCAGACATTGATAGGATATCGTTTACCGTTTACATTGCTCTTTCGTTACAGCTTTGTACCCCCTGCTGTCGGTATTGGGTTCCGCTCCATTCGCTGCTTCGGTCATATGTAGATATCATTCATCTGGGAACAATACAGCAAGATTACAATCTTATCTGAATGTTTGGCCTTTTTCCCTCCCCTATTTCATATCTACACCAGTTGGGTCGCCCAGCTTACGCCGGGCCCCCATTCCTTACTTTTTCAGAGCAGTTGGAGAATTTCGCCACCCCCCTGGTACCAATTGACCGACCTCGGAGGGATGGAAGGCTTGGTTGGCCTAGGCGGGCGTCGATCCGGGATTCGAACCCCTGACCGTGCGTGTGAGAGAGTGCGCCACTTGCTACTACCCCACATCTCATAATTGTTTCATGAATTTAAGGTCCAGCTCACCTTCCAGCTAGGTGGACATTTCGTCTACCAAAAATAGTTGCTCTCTTTTCGTTCGCCTTTTCACACTACAGGTTTAAGAAGAGGTCTGTAAGGATTTTGAACGTTGTCAATTTTTGATTTTAGCTTTCCTTCCTCTGCACACTTCAGTGGGGGTGCGTTTCGTTGCGCGTGTCCGTCGAAACTAGGTCACGCCGCAGCCGTCGCATGCGGCGGGGTCAGCCCGCGATACTTGACAGACGTCGCAGCTGTAAGCGGGGCATACGATTTGCGCTTTCCTCACGGTAGTCAGCCAAAGAGAAGATAATATAGACAAATGCATCGTTCGCTCCACTCACACTTGGTGGTACTGTAATGTCTTCCCGAGACCTCAGTGGGGTGCACCGCGCGCGAAGTGGGCGGGGTGACCTACTTTCGACGGACACGCGCAACGGACGTTCACCCTTCAGTGGTCATCGCACCGCATAGAACGCCTATGTCTGTATGCCTGTCACGAAAATCTGTATAACCCTGGAGTAGCTGGAGAGATCGAGTCGGGTTCGGGGTGGGTGGGATTTAGGACAATATCAAGAGAGCACATATCATCTGGCGGATCCCCGCCCTTAGGGGATGGGACACATACCGGAATGGGCGACGCCAACGGCAAAACCTATCATTTCGGCTCTGAATAATTCAAACACTGGCAAAATGGGAAATGGCTAGCTATTGGTCAACAATTTGGGCAGGGATCCAGGGTGTACAGAGCGAGTTCAAATTGCGTGGTAGATGCTCTCTGCATGATTTCACAACTCGGAAGCGTGGAGTTCAGAAAAAAGTGTTGGAGTAAGCAAGATCTGAGGTGCTCTAAGTAGTCGCAAGCTTAGTCAGCATGCCTATGGTGTGTACGGCGTGCTCTTAAAGTAAAAGTAGCTTCTTATGAAAATTCGTGATTTTGTCCAAAAACGTTCGGTCATCAGTAAAGACCGTAATTAGACGTTATTGAAAGAAAAGCAGTTAAATTTCAATAGTTTACGCATCGGGCCCAGTGGTGGACGAGGCTAAGATAAAATATCCATGACTTTTTTTCTGAAACTTTCTGCAATATAGGAAAAAGTAGCTAGAGGCTGTTGAAAAGGATAGTCGAACTTCATGACGGTCGTGGCGAGGATTAAAAATTTACGAATCTTTCCGATAACGCTCTTGAGTCATAACCACTATTTAGTACTTGTGAAATCATCAGCATTACTCATTATATATGTGAAGAACTTGCTTCTGCCTGTCTGTCTGTCCATCTATCTATCAGTTAATAAGGAAGTTTTGCTTTAGTGAGCGTCGTGCAATATTATGATCTGTTCAGAACCAATCAAGCGCCACCTGTGAAGTTTCTTCAACGATCTCATCGAGTATAGATCAAAAACCTGACAATGTTGCGTCATCTTCGGAGCCTGATGCTCCTGCCAGCCCTCCTCCAACGTCTATGCAGCAAATGCCAGAAAATGTCATTAGGCATGTCGTGTTTATCGTCTTTTACGTTGTTTCTTGATTTTTTTGATTTGCAGCAGTCTTTGCTAACTTGACTTTCTAGGTTACTGGAACTGCTAAGAGCTAACGAGTCCAAGACTCAATGCCAAGACACTGATCTTCGGAAGCTTCCATCTTCTTCGAGTGCCGCGCCAAAGGCGGATGAGGCCGTCGGACAGCGGCGGTCACGATTCGATCAACCTCCGCCTGAACTCAAAGATCCTACTGGATATGTTCCAAAACCTGTTCCTACGTCATCCATCGGTATGTTCGCATAACGTGTACGACGTTCAATGGCGATGAATGCCTGTATCTATCCAGGTTTTGTTGGCAACGTCCCCGCATTGGGAGCTTCTGTTATGGACACAGACCTGCGTTCAGCACCGGTATGCATATCAGCACTTGGAGATAACAAAAGTTTCTTTTTTCTAAAGCTTTGCTTTTCTAGCCTGCAACCTTGGCATTTTCGATCAAAAAGGCCGTAGCCACTCCAGCGCTGAATCCTCCAGCTCCACTAATTTTTGGTGATGACGAAGACGACGACAATAATAAATCAGAAGACCAGCAAAGCAGGTTAAAAAGGTATAACATTCTTCATTAATTCATGCATTGCTGGGGTTTTTTAATCACTAAGTACATTTGCGAGTCACAGCAGGATTCATGAATTCTCTCAGACAGGCAGGACCTGTCGATGTCGAAGTTCCTTCATTACACGCTTGACCCTTCTTACCGCCTCCTTTTTTCACGTGGATCTGTTCTAATCTTCTTCTTTTCCTAATTTCCTCTTCTTCTAGAGTGTCTGTGCGCAGATAAGTATCACTTTGGCGAGTTTATCTAATAAGCCGTAGAACTATTTCATATCAGTTAACGGAACTGTATTATTTTCCACTTCCACTACTCATTCGTTTCGTTATCCCTTGTCGATGTTCCCGTTCATCAACCAGGCTCACAGTGAAGGACAAAGTATAAAGCCTCTGGACGTTAATCGATCTCCTTTGAAGGATGCGCCCCTTGCATTCAACTTTCGTTCAGGATCTTAGTGACGTATTGAACGCGTATGCGACTTATACAGGGTGTCCCAAAATTATTGGCGCCGATTTATAGCAATATTTTTCAAACTTCTCAGCTGCGAAAGACTATGAAATCTCTATGCACGTTAGCCAACACTACGTGCTACAACATGCTACAGTCGCCTTTAAAAATATCCCCCATGAGCGCGGATAGAAGTCAAAGTTTGCCCTCTACTT